GAATATATATATATATATATATATATCTCCTTATAGTCCACTTTGGAATAAATTGCATTTACTTTTTACATGGAAAGACTGATTCTGTATTATCTGATTATCTTTTTAAAAGATTCTTTTTAACTCTTTTTTTTGCCTTTACTGGCCTTTACTAAACAACAAGAAAAAGTAGGAAGGGAGAGTAAGGTTGCTAAGTCAGTCTGTCATACAAGGAAGGAGGAAAATGATAATAGCTGATCTTTCTGATACTACTAAATAGGAGTTTGTGCAGTACAATTAAGAGTTTTGAGCCATAATTTTATGAGCAGAATTAAATAGAAGAGGTACATGTATAAAAATAGCAAGTGTTCCATATTTAAACTTTCGTGATCCTAGAATCATAGAACTGGTAAGCTTATCAAGCCCTACTCCCTGATTTCACAGTTAGAGAAACACATTAAAGAGATTAAATGGCCTGTTTAATGTCACCTTGTTATTCCTAAAGCTGGAAGAACTCCTTAGTACCATTTCAATATTCCTTTCATTGTATACTGTTACGATTACATATATAGTTCATCTTCTCTTAACTGAATGTATCAGGATATAGATGTTCAGACTGTGTTGATAGGGAAATTACTCTTTTTGCTTTACTTCCCTGTCTATGTAATAGATGTATGGAATCCAACAGTCCCCTCAGCAAATGGAAGAGTTTGAAGATTTAACCTTCAATGCCCTCAGGGAAACAGGATCTGGTTAGGAGTTGCTAATAGTTATTGTTCTGAATTTGAAGAGCTATCAAGGTCTACTGAAGGAGAACAAAGAATGGATTCTAGAGTACACAGGCAATATGAAGATCGATGGAGGGACCCCAAGACTACTATAAGGACTTGGAGAAAGTTGATTAAGAAATATTTCCAGAGAGTAGCTTGGGAATATGAGAACTGGTCAGGGGAGGTGTCCAAAAGGAAGAAAATCCCTTTACTAAATAAGAGTCATATGGCAATGCAAATCACATGTTCCGGTGTCCAGGCGTTTATACTGACCACCCAGCCTATGTTCAAAGGAGGGACTTCCACAGTCCTCACCCTGGGCCTGCACACTGTTTTGGTGGGAATTACTTTGACTGTTAATAGTAAAGCCGAAGTGACAAATACCCATGCTCCAAAACCAAAACTGCATTTAGCCTATATTTGAGTGATTCATGTGTCCACCTTCCCAGTGCTGCCTCAGCCCAGCTCACAATGCCTCAGGTGACCCATCTATTCTAAAAAGACCCCATCTATGATGCCGTGCACATCTAGTAGGACTCGTGGGATGAAGTAGGGGTACTCCTCTCACCTGTACCTAAAAGGACTGTATCTAGAATGACAAATGCAAGTTGAAGCTCCCAAGAACTGAGGAGATGGCTATATTAAAGTTTATAAACTCATATAACTATTCCTTTCTAAAGAGTTTAGTTTTACTGTTTTAGAAGATATTTATAAGATACTTAGGTTTTTTCTACTTTTTCTTCCATAAATGGATATAAAGGACCTTACTTGGTTAATTCACAAAATTTAACAAATTATCTACCACTGGGCCATTTCGTTTAACGTGTATGTATTATTTACGTTCATGTATTTCTCTGTCCCTTTAAATAATTCAACAGATAAAAAATGGAGGGGATACAACTTGATGCTCAAGATTGAGGAAAAGATGCGTAACTGTGCATTGTCTGCATGACTAATGTGAGCTTAACTGTAATCGTTTGAAAGTATCTAATATATTACTCTCAATGACTAATCTTGCAACCATTTTTTTAAAGCCAGCAAGTGTGCCCTAAAGAACTTCTAAGCTCACAGGAGGAGAGCAAACTAAATTCCGACCTTGCCATTTATATCTTTAGATTTCAGAAGATGTTGAAACCCTACAAAAAGGGAGATTATTTTTTGTTTTTATTTCGTTTACTAGATTTTCTTAGTTTAGACACTGAAGTTACCAAAAACAGGGTACATCAAATATAATGGGCAAATAGACTGTCTGAGAGCAAATGAGTAACAACAAAAAATTAAGAGCTACACAAAGAGTAAAAGAATGCCTGAATAAAAATCTTCGAGGGAGAATTTTTCCCCAAGTTCAATAGGGCAAAAGATCCACCATAAAAGAAGCAAACAACCATCCTGAAACTTAATTACATTTCAAAGTAATGCAGTTACATGAAAGGAACAAAACGTTTTTGTTCAATAGTTTGCCTACCAGATGGCATTTCTAAATATAGTAATCTAAAACCTTCTGTTTGTTCTATAAATAAAGATGAAAGGAATAGCAATAATATCTAAGCATTTAAATCACTGGGAATAAAAGAGCACTTTGATTGGGTTTAGAAAAAATCTAGTTTATTCTAACAATGATCCCGAATCTGGGAAGACTCACGTTCTAGGTGAAACTCAGAATCCCAGCCTTCCGGTATTGCTCTTCCGTCTGCTCAAAATGGTTTTCATTCACATTAAGGAACAAACCAGGAACTAATACCAGGAGACGTGGGGAAATCTGAAAACATAAGAACTCCTAATCAGTAGAGACTCTAAAGGGCTACCGTCCAAATACCAGAAGTATTTTGGGGCTTGTGTGTTGGGGGTGGGGGAGGGTTTTTTGTTTTTGAATTAAAATAGCTGGGGTATATATCCTGTCTTATTTTTGTGAGCTAATGTGTAAATGTGTAACGGTTAAGGACCTGGACTTTGGAGTCAGGCCTAATACGTGAGCCCAGGCTTTATGGATAACTGGCAGTATGCTCTTGAGCCGGGTCTTGACTTCCTTGAGCTTCACTGGCAGAAACAGATAGCAATAGTACAGACTTTCATGGGAATTTAGTTATGACAGCACTGGGCACCCTACTAAGTCCCAATGAATTTCGGCTGTTTAGGATCACTGTTAACAATAGTGATATAGCTATATTACATTAGCTATATTAGCTGTATTACTTTAGCAAATAATTACGCTCCTGATTTTCTGCTATCTCGAAGAACACGGTGATGCGCAGCCAGGTTCTCTGGCAGTAATAGAGTTCTAAGAGTAGAACTCAACGCCTTACCTGGCACATCTCCAAGTGGTTTCTCCCAGTGTAACACTGCCCTCTTCTCACTTTGCTCTTCAAAGTTACTGAGAATTCATGTGGGGAAGGCAGGCCTGAAGACAGAAGTATTTTTTAAGAATTGGTTGTCAGAGGTCCATCCCAGTCTGTCCTTTCTAATGACTTCATTCTCAGTACTCTCAGCTGACGATCTACAGTCTTGAGTGAAATGACTCGAAGTTCCTTTTGCATCTGGTCAACTAAAAGCATGTAGGACCATTCCCATGGACAGCATTGGTCCAACACTGTGATAGCACAGAGCTATCTTGGCAACTGGCTCATGATGTTAAGCAACTTAGCCACTTGGGAGTAGGGTGAGTACCATGAACAAATAAAAGGTAAGTTGTAATTGCTTAAATATGATGCCAACTACAATGAACGGAAGGCTGGTGTTTAATGGCACTTAAAGTTCCACTGGGTTGTTTGTTGAATTTTACATGAAGAAAGAGCCACCTGCTGGGTCTACAGACTTCAGTGTTAGAAGATGTCTATGGTTAGGTCTTCAGATAGAAGGTAGTTCCATTTATTTTTAGTATTTTAAAAATTGTGACGGGGTGCCTGGGTGGCTCAATCGGTTGGACGTCCGACTTTGGCTCAGGTCATGATATCATGGCTCATGGGTTCAAGTCCCTAATGGGGCTCCGTGCTGACAGCACTGAGCCTGGATCCTGCTTTGGATTCTATGCCACCCTTGTTCTCTGCCCCTCCCCCACTCATGCTCTGTCTCTTTCTCTCCTTTCAAAAATAAACATTAAAAAAAAATTTTTAATTGTGATAAAATGTACGTAACATACAATTTACCATTTCAACCATTTTTAACGTAGAGCTCAGTGACAGTAAGGACATTCACAATGTTGTGCAACCCGTCATCAGGATTTCCAGAAATTTTTCATCATCACAAACAGAAACTCTACACCCATGAAACAACATATCCCCATTCCCCCTTCCCCTCTGCTTTTGGTAATCCCTCCTCTACTTTCCAGATACCTCATCTAAGTGGAATCATACAATATTTGTCTTTCTGTGTCTGACTTATTTCACGTGGCATACTGTTTTCAAGGTTCATGTATGTTGTAGCACGTATCAGAATTACATTCCTTTTTAAGGCTGAATAACATTCCATCACAGGGATTCCATCTTATGTGTATACATTTTGTTTACCATCCATCCCCTGAAGGACATTTGGGTTGCTTCCGCCTTTTGGCTTTTGTGAATAATGAACACTGGTGCACAAAACGCTGGTTTGAGCTCATGCTTTCATTTCTTTTGCATATATACCAGAGTAGAATCACTAGCTCATATGGTAACTGTTTAACTTTTCGAGGAAAAACTAAACTGTTTCCACAGCTGCTGTGCCATTTTTACATTCCCATCAGCAATGCGCCAGGATTTCAATTTCTCCACACCATCACCAACATATATTTTGTTTTCCGAATAACCATCTTAATGGGTGTGAAACGGTACCTCCTTAGATCTGCTGTGTAAACTGTTTTTTAAAACTACAGATTTATTATATAGCTGTCTTATTTTGCATATAAAAAGCTACACACATCCTGTTCAAGTCCCAAAGAAGGTGAAGTATGATTGTATCTGTTAAATTTTGAACAGAATAACACCCTTATTTCTCCAAATAAAAAGGCAATCCTGACTTTTAGGATTGCAGCTAAAAATCCCACAGCAAACAAATATACCCATTAGGCTTAGCGAAGCTGTCACCTTTACAATACCACCCTCAGCAAAACCGAAAACTCTCACGGAAACAGGACCTGCCTCAGATTTGACCCAGAAGCGCGACAGCACCAGCCCTACAGCGCAGGCGCGTCTTCGGGCGCGCGCCCTGCGTGCCTACGTGCGCGGGCCCGCGGGGCGGTGGAGGGGCGGGGCCCACGAAACTCCTCGGGCGGCAGCGATGGCGGCTGCGTCGGGTTCATTTCGCGTGCAGCGTTGCATGGTGTCGCCAGCTGGGAGGCACAGCGCCTCGCTGATCTTCCTGCACGGCTCAGGTGGATTACAGTTTCACGTCCTAGTTTTCTGCTTGGGAATCGTCCTCCCCTCGGGTCCCCCAGTGTTGCCCTAGTGGAGGAGGCGCTGGGCCCATTAGGGCTCGGTGGACTCGGAGAGGGCGACCCTCCTCCCTTCGCCAGCCCTGTGGCTGGGGACACACGGGCCTGGTAATATGTTCCCAGCCTTCCCCACCGTGTGTTCCCTTTTTCTATCTTGTGGTCACTGGCCCACCGCCCTCGCTGATGGCCCCTGTGTCCCGCCCCTCGGCCATCCTTCCATCTACAATATACTCTTCTTTGCAAGCCTTGCTACCCTCCCCTATCCCCACCATTGTTCTCCCTCAAGTTTAAACAGAGCAAGTTAGTAAGGTAAGTTCTCTGCTAGAGACAAATAAATTATTTAGTACTTTCCAGGGTCAGCTATTAGTGATTTGGGTTTTCAACCGCATTGGATTGTTTGCCATTGCTTTTCCTTTTCCAGTCTCCCATACTACTGTAGACATTTCAGCCAGTTAACTTAATATTTATTAATACTTTCTGTGAGGCACTGCGCCAGGGCTGGAGTGCCTTTCTCCCTTTCCTCACTTTCCTGCTCCCCCTTCTTTCTTTTTCCTCTTTCCCTCTCTTGTCATTAAGCCCCCAAGATACAGCACCGAGTCAGCTCTCAGTCCCAGGGGTAGATCTTCTTGTACTGCCCGCCTTTAGTGACGTGTGCTTAATTCGGTATAGCATTTCTTCCACTCATCTGTAATTACTTACGTCTGTCTTTCTCACTTCACTTTCCCTTCCTCAAGAGTAAGGACCCTTGTTTTAATCTTTGCATCCCTAGTGCTTGGCCCAGAATAAGTTCTTGGGAAATATTTTTGTAAAGAAATGAGATGCAGCCGGTGTCCTCAGGGCGCCTACCTAAAGTTAAAAACAAAAACAATTCAATTAGTTTGAGTCAGCAGTGGACGGGAGATCACAAGATGGTACATGATTTACTGCCAAGAGAATTGTAAGGAAAAAACTGTGGTTAGGCATATTAAGGCATTTGGAAGATGAAGAGCTTGTCAGATTTGACCGAGAACGTGGGCTTTGAGCTGAGACTTTGGTAGGCGTAAAGAGATGGTGATTGGATAGTGAAGGGGATTGGAAAGGTACTGGGTGGAAACCTGGAAATGGGCTATTGTGGGAAGTATTCTCGTTTTAAGAATGAGCCCCAATAGGCTGAAGTTTGCCCAAGGTCACTTGGCTATTACTGTGAGTGGTCATGGAATTCGGATTCGCACTCAGATCTCTCTGACTTCAGAAGGGGTAACGTGGAAAAACTCTGAGCTAGGATGTATCACTTTGGAAATAGGAAGAAACTAGCCAAATGTGTTGAAAGGGAAATTTGGCTGCTGAGATATATTTAGAAGGTGAGGTGGGGTGTCTAAGATGACACCAGTGCTTTCCAATTAAGAGACTGTTACTGGTACTATTTTGGGCTCCAAGGGTGTTCATTTGTAAGCATCCAGAAATTCCCCAATACCATAATCTTTTTAATAAATAAGTTAATTAGTTAATAATATTTTTAGGAAATACTCCTGGACGTTTCTTTTTTCCATGGGTCGCTTTGCTTAACGTCTATCCTTACTCTTTTCAATTTCAAATTACCGATGTTTTCATAAATTGTAAATCCAGATTTGTACAATATAAAAGTATATATTATTTTTTTCTTTTGTACTTTGGAACAAAGAATTTATCCAAAGAATTCTGCTAATTATGCAAATGTAATGCACTTCCTATATAGTTAGAGCTCCATTGTAGTAAATAAGACCCTTATTGAAAGTATGATTTTATATTAGACTTAGACTTTACTATATGTGGTTATGTTATAGGAGATGTTTGGGTTCTGGTTACTCCAAATACGTTACTACATATATACTACAATATAAACCAATTGTAACAATTTTACCTTGCTGTTAGAATAAAGTGCCAACTTTTTAAAAAGCAGACCTTGTGAATGGATGAATGGATGTTGCTTTGTGGCATTAAGTTTTGCTTTTTAAGATTGAAGAAGTGAATTTAGAAGCTTTTTTTTTTTTAAAGTCTGACCTTCTCTAGGATATGCCAGCGATAGAAGAATATAGGGGAATGTGAGTAATACATAGCCAGCTTCATCTGAGCCTTTCCTACTCCTAAAATACAAAAGAAGTATCTTCTTTCAGGATGATAAACACAAGTAATAGTTTAATTAGCTTTGTTTGGTTTCCCGGCTTAGATTAATTCACTCTGTTGGATGCTCCTTTAATGGTATTCATATTTGTAATTACTTAATTTAAGGTCTGTATTCCACACTGCGCTGTAAGGTTCACACAAACCATGCGTGCCTTGCTTTCTCCTCCTGTAGTAAGTGTCTGCGAACTGAGTTGGCTCTTAGTAAAGTCACCAGTAACCTGTGTGTTGCTAAATGTAATAAACATTCTTCAGTCATCCTCTTATCTCATTATTTCAACTGTTAGCAGCAGCATTCAGTATTCTTTTTTTTTTTTTTTTTTTGAAGAGTAAGGCCAGTACAGGAAGCAACTATTAATGTTTTTTTAATGTTTATTTAGTTTTGAGAGAGAGAGACAGAGACAGGCAGGCGAAGGGCACAGAGAGAGGGAAAGACAGAATCCGAAGCAGGCTGCAGGCTCCAGGCTCTGAGCTATCAGCTCAGAACCCAGTGTGGGACTTGAACCCACCAATGTGAGATCATGACCTGAGCTGAAGTCTCAGAGGCTTAGCTGACTGAGCCACCCAGGGGCCCCATCAGCATTCGGTGTTCTTGAAATGCTTTCTTGATTCTTTTTACCTGTTTGCTCCTTTTGGTGTATTTTGCATTCTCTTCTATCCATTAATTTTGGGGTTCCTCAGAATTTGGTCCTATTTTTTTTTTCATTTTGTTTTTTTTTTCTCCCCAGCTAATGTGCATATATGCCCAAGGATTCTGTTTTTTCCTCTGTATGGTGATATATATGTGTGTCTCTAAGTTTCCTTTGAGCTCTGGATGTGTTTTTCCAGAGGCCTAATAATCACTCATTCATTAACCCATTCATTCAAGAAATATCTATTATATGGCCACTGTGCAAGGCACTGTTCTAGGCTCCAGGCATATAGTAATGAACGAAACAAACAAAATTCCCTTCTGTCGTGGAACTTACATTCTAGTGGAGGAAATATTATAGAGTGAGTGGATAGTAGTAAATTCTAAGGGCAAGGAGGATGGGAGGTATAGGGGGTGATAATTTTAGATAAGGTGGTCAGAGTAGGTCTCACTACAGTGGTGACACTTCAGAAGTTAGACTTGAGTGAGGCAATCGTGTAGGTTTTGGGCTAGACTGTTGCAGACAGGGAAAAGCCAGGAGAGAGGGTCTGAGGTAGGTTCTCCGACATGGAACAGCAGTCAGGCGTGTTTGTCTGGAGAGGAGTAGGCCAGGATATCCAAAAGGGTGCTGGCACAGGTGGTGTGGGGCAGGGGTTGGCAAACTTTCTGTAAAGGCTCAGATAGCAACCATTGTAGCTTTTGTGGGCCATGTAATGGCTTCTTTTCTGCTTCCCTCTTCTCCTTTCTTTTCCTTCATTTTCTTAAAATGATTCTTAAAAAAATGTAAAAATTGGGGGAGCCTAGGTGGCTCAGCTGGTTATGTGTCCAACTCTTGCTTTCGGCTCAGGTCATGATCTCATGGTTCCTGAGATCGAGCCTTGAGTCAGGCTCTGCCCTGACAGCGTGGAACCTGCTTGGGATTCTGTCTCTCTCCCTCTGTCCCTCTCTTGCTTGTTCTGTCTCTTTCTCGCTCTCTCAGAATAAATAAAATAAACTTTAAAAACTGTTAAAGTCGTTCTTAATGGTTTTTGTCTTCCAGCTGGCTATAGTTTGCTCAACCCCAGCTAGAGGACTTGTATGCATTCTGAAGAGTACCTCACACTCAGCGAGTATAAACCTGCTGATTCATGCATTTCCTATCTCAGTGTGTGTAGTTCCATTGCTCACTCAGTTATCCTGGCCAAAAACCCCACCATCTTCCTTGAAACCTTCCACCATTGACCCCTCATAACTAACCTATCGTCAATGTCTGTTAATTTTATCTCCTAAGTATCTCTGTACATTTCATTGCTTTAACCTTAACTTAACTGAACAGTAGCCTCCTTATTGATCTCCTCACGCCCACTTTTGTCCCTCCCTTCACACAGCTGCCAGAGTGCCCCTTAAAAGATGGCCACCTTTCTGCCAAAAAGCAGCTAGCTCCGGGCTCTGAGGATTTCTCTAGCCTCATCTTGCACTCCCTGCTCTTTCTCTCAATTCTTCGACGTCATCCTGCTCCTTCCAATGAAGGATCTTCGCATTCGCCATATCCTGTCCGAGATGCTCTTTCCTTGTGCCCTTCCCTTTTCACCAGCCCGTGGACCTTAAAACTTTGTGTCAGCTTGTGTCAGTTGTGCTCTAGGCCTTACGTGAACAAATAACTCAGGGGATAAAGTGCAAAGTGACCTTTGCTCTGCAGAGCTTACATTCGGGTAATGTTATCCCTGAACTCCTTCGCTGAGGCAGTTCTGAATACCATAAACCCTGGCAGCACCAAGGGTCTCATCGTTACAGTGGTTACATTTACCTTTAATGTTTACGTATGGTTACTCGGCTACTGTCCGCTCCTCACAATAAACTGTATACTCAGTGAGAGCAGGGACTCTTTTCTTCCTCATCTTGCCCTCACTGCCTGACACATTGATGTGCATTCATAGATATATTTTGAATTGATGTCTTAATGAACTGATTTAAAAGAAATTAAAAGTTGTCACCTTTAAAATTTCCTCTTCAGGACTACAGAAGATGGACCTATATTTTCTTCCATTTTTTTTTTAATGGAAATATCCATACCTTAATTCTTGCATGGATTTTGGTTACTTTTCAGCCTTCGGGCATATAATCATTATTTTACATCATGTAAACAGGTTATCGAAATTAAACTTAGATTTCTTCAAGTTAAAAGTATGCTAACTATCCCTTTGATAGATTTTATTACTTTAACCAAGAAAAGTGTTTTAGGTTGTTCCAAGTACAAAAGTTTATATACACTTTAAAAATTTACTCTTTTTAAGGGTAAGATAAAAAATGGCAGTGTTTAAAATCAGATAAAGAATTTTTTTTTAGAAAAAATAATTTACTTCATGTATTTGTTGCTGTTGTACCCTTAAACAAAGGAGAAACTTAAAACTCATAAAGTGATCAGTGCTGAAGTTACGAGTAAAGTAATCTAAATTATTTTTGGCTGTTTATACCTGACCAGTTAATTCATGTTGATAAATTGGTTTCTGTGCAGTTATTTTTATTTATGGAAATTTTTTTTATTCCCTGTTCCAGCCTCTGTGTGATATGAGAGTTATAGACTGCTTTTAAATACACTGTGTTGTCAAAATGTTTTATCTTAACCTAGATTTTGTGATCCATCAGGTGATTCTGGACAAGGATTGAGAACATGGATCAAGCAGGTTTTAAATCAAGATTTAACATTCCAGCACATAAAAATTATTTATCCAACAGCTCCTCCCAGGTATGCAGTAATTTATCTCACTGCCCAGTATAACTGTAGCATAAAATGTATATAAATAGATGTACCAGCTAAATGTTCTTTAAACTTAATTGTGTATTTGAATTGGGGTACTTTTTTTCCAGAACTTTTTATTTTTTCAGTTTTATGATTCAGCCAAGTTTTGCTAGATGAATAACTTATTGCCTTTTTGTAAAGCATTCCCTGAAGCTTTTAACTTAAACTTTGTCCTAAAGAATAGTATGCTGAACTCAGCTTCCTCTAACCCTGCAGATTGCTGTCTTTCAGATTCTCTTTTTCCCCAAAAAAGAAACTCCAAAAGAAACTTTTTTTTTTTGCCCCAAAAGAAACTCCAAGAAGCATAAACTTTCTAATAATTTAGTTATGCCACAATTGATAAACTCTGGAAAAAGGTTTTGTGGCATTGTTTCTGCACTTAAAAAATTTTGGAAATAATATTAAGCTTTTTGAATCCATAAACCAGAATAGGAATGTGGAATTGGCTACTTACTAAATAGATTATGCAACCTATAGATGTGTTTAACAAAATGCAGAGTCATGAGATTGATACAGTTTTGAAGTCAAACCGCTTTTTATAATTATTAAATTAGCATCTCCATAAGCTTTTATCCTGAGCACATGCTTTAAACTGGGGTTTCCAAGTACTTTTTTGGGTAAGCAAAATAATGTGCTGAGCTGTACAATCCACTAATTTCTCATTATCTGTTCTTGGTTTATTCTTATTAATGACACTGTGTGCTTATGCAAATGTGATTTTTATTTTTCTATTAACTTAATATTAATGAGAATCAGAACCAGAAGTTCAAGGACCCTTTTGAATGCAATTAAGGTTTTACTTACCTTAGTTGATAGAATTGAAAATGGTAGAACAAAATAATGATAATTTTGTCATAAAATTTAAGAGTCAAAAAAAGTTATTTTAATATAATTTTAGAAGAGTTTAGTAGTTTGGTAGGGCAAATGAAAGGCCTAATGACCAGGGCGCCTGGGTGGCTCAGTTGTTTGAGCATCCTACCCCTGATTTCAGCTCAAGTCATGATCTCACATTTGTGAGATCAAGCCCCGCATTGGGCTCTGAACTGACAGCACAAAGTGTGCTTGGGATTCTCTCTCTCTCCCTCACTCTCCCTCAAAATGAATAAACATTAAAAAAAAAAAAAAAAAAGAAAAAAGACCTAATGACCAAGAGGTTATTTTTGTGCTGTAAGTTGAATGTCTTTGAAATGTCAAAAGAGCTTTGTTATTTGCTATTGGTTTGTAGTGAAGTTGGGAAGAAGAAAGACAATGGTATTCCCACAGAGACAGAAAAGATAAGTTCATTTCAGCCTAAATATAAGCATAATTAATAAAATTGAATGGAAGATCATTGGAAACAGATTCTAGAGTCAGTACTTTTCAGTTTATGAATTTACATCATCACGAGTTTTGATATATGTTTACAGATAAGTGTATCTCAGACTTTAGGCTGGAGATAGTTCTAAGAATACAACAATCTAAGTATTGTTTGTGGGTGCTGTTGTGTTTAAGTAAAATCTAAAATCACTGAAATATTTCACTGAATTCATAATAACTTTTTGGTATTATATATCTTAATAGTACATATTTGGACAGATCATCAAACATTTTAGACCATGCTAACCATGAAATGTAATAGGAGTTACAAATGTAAATGTAAATTTTCTTGATACCACATTAAGAAGAGAAAAAAAGAAATAAGTAAATTAATTTTAATAACATATTTTATTCAACCCATTATATCCAGAATATTATCATTTCAACACATAATGTATATAAAATTATTAAAGTGATAATTTGCATTCTTTTATTCATTCTAAATCTTTCAAATCTGGTGTGTATTTTACATGTGTAACACATCTCAATTTGAGTACTGATAAATTTACATTAAATAATTATTGACTCAAAGAAAACAAAAACACTAATTTGAGAAGATATATGTGCTTCTATGTTTATTATTGCAACATTATTTACAATAGTCAAGATATGGAAACAACCCAAGTGCCATCAATAGATCAGTGGATAAAGATGTGGTATGTATGTGTGTGTACACACACACATACACACACACACACACACACACACACACACACACACACACACACACACACAACCAGGAATATTACTCAGCCATAAAAAAGAACGAAATCATGCCATTTGCAACAACGTGGATGGACCTAGAGGGTATTATGCTAAGTGAAATAAGTCAGAGAAAGACAAATACCATATGATTTCACTTACATGTAGAATATAAAAAACAAACAGGGGGTGCCTGGGTGGCCCAGTCAGTTGACTGATATCAGCTCAGATTGTAACGATCTCATGGTCGTGGGATTGAGCCCAGTGTTGGGATTTGTGCTGAACATGGAACCTGGTTGGGATTCTCTCTCCCTGTCCCTCCCCCACAATATCTCCCACGTTTCTGCACACATGCTTTCTTTCTCTCTCTCTCTCTCAAAATAAATAAATAAACATTAAAAAAAAAAAGAACAAAGAAACCAAAAAACAGACTCTTAAATACAGAGGGGAGGTGGGTGGAGGGTCTGTGACATAGATAAATGGGATTAAAAGGTACTAATTTCCAGTTATAAAATAAATAAGTCACAGAGATGAAAAGTACAACATAGGGAATATAGCCAATAATGTAATAACATTTAATGACAGATGGTGACCGCACTTTATGAGTAATGTATAGAATTGTTGAATCATGTTGCGTACCTGAAATGGATATAACACTGTATGTTAGTTATACTTAAATAAAACATTATATTAAATAAACGTAAAAGTTCAGTAACTGGTTACACTAGCTACATTTTTTAAATGCTCTATAGGTATATGTGTCTAGGAGCTACCATTTTGGACAATGTAATTTTAGACTTTTAAAAGGAGTTCCCATACGTTTATAGTATGCTAGGGGCAACTGTTCTAGATCAATTCATCATTTTTACCTAAATTTCTCATGACTGACAGTTCTTGAACTTGTAAGATTTCCTTTTTTTTAATGATGAGGTGATTTAAATTATTCATTCTCAAGCAAGGATGACTCTCCCTCAGAGAACATTTGCGATGTTGGGAGACATTTTTTGGTGGTCACAGCTGGCGGGAGTGGCAGTATAAGAGGCAACTGGCGTCTCCTGGGTAGAGGCCAGGGTTACTGCTATACACCTTCTACTGCATGGGACAGACCCCATGACAGAGCATTAGCCAGCCCCAAATCTCAGGGGTGCCTAGGCTGAGAAACCCTGCTTTAAATTACACCTCTGTCCCACTTATACTAGATGATTAGTATCCTGGTTCTCTGTTAGGAAAAAAAATAATGTTGCAGTGTGATCAGCTGTTTATATTTTAGAAAAACAAATATCTGAGGTACTTAAAGTATGAATGGCATCATTGTCTTTGAATCAATACAAAAAGAAGTTGAGATTGTACCTAAGAACAGGTCTTTATGTACTAGGCTTTCTTTATTTTTAGATTTAATTACTCAAGGTCAGAAACATTAAATACAAAATTCCACTTTTCTTCAAAATTTACTCTTGATTGAGAGCATGGAATTGTGAAGTTTTGCTTCCTTGTTTTCACTAGTTCTAGGATTCCTAAGATGAAGAAATAAAAACCTCACAATTAAATACAATTTGCAATTTCCTATTAAGGAATTAAGGAGCTTTTCAAACAATTTTCAGAAAGAATATATATGTCTGCATTGTGGAGTATTACATTTCAGACCCCTATTCATGATTAGAGGTATCAAATTAAACAGTGAAGTGAGACATATATAATTAAGGATAGTAATGCTATTTAATTTGCTATCAATTTAAAAATCAAGTAAGTTTGTAAAATATGTTTATTGCTTTCAATCATGAATACCAGCACTCTCAACCAACCTAGCGAAGTTATTTTGTTTAAATATTTGGCAAGTTGTACATTCTGTAGCTCTGCTGTATTTCATTGGTCCTTTTCCATATGGGAAATCCAATGTCACATGATCAAGGATTACCAATGGCTCCAAACCTTTTGACTTTGTGATCTTCTAAATGTTGGAAGGGCTCTTATAACAAGCAAGTATTACAAGCAAGAACTGGTTCAATATTTTATCATATTAGAAAATCTGTTTCAACATTACTGTGAAATCATTTTTCTTTTAGTCTATGATAGTTCAGATATCAGCAAGTTTTAATTCTACTTGTCTCAGAAACCCAGAGCAATTAGAAACTTTATTCGTTTTAATAAATTTATTTTTAATTTTAAAGCATGAACCACATCTCTGTTGCCTGAGGATTTTGCAATCTGAATTCACCTTACATCTTATTGCAGTTTTGGTTGGTGCCATTTTCCTTCTGTTTTGATGTATTTCAAGATTATTTTTACTTAAGTATATAGGTATTAAAGGCATTGTATTGAGGTAGTTAAGACATCAGATAGTGTTTACAATTCAATAATATTTTATTATCTTGTTGGAATTGGTGATGATGCTTTCTTAGTTTCATGGTGAATTAAAATGTAATACATTTTAAGGGTTTTCATACTTTTAGACTTACTCTTCTGTCACACGAATTATCATTTCTTAGTTTTTTCCCATGAAATTATATTTGGTTGTTATGTATTCTCTCCTGTTCACAATCTGGCCTGTTTTTGGTATCCCTTTTCCACACTGTTCAGAATGTCCAGCCATAATGCCCTCAGATATTAGGACTATTAGTGGTGATTGTGTATAAATATAGTTAATAAAAATTTGTCCTAGAGGAACATTTTGGCCTTAAAGCCAATTCCTTTTTGTTTAGGGGATTAATTCTCCTAAATTGTATTCTAAGAATAGACAGTTTGCATCATTACCAGCAGTGTATCAGGATACCCATTTCAACTAACACTTGCAAGCATTCATTTATTTTAAAAACAGATTCTAATTTTGTTACTGAGAGTCTCTAACGGTTAACAGCTATCCAATAAACAGTGCTTTCAATATCACTAAT